TATGTAAGTGGCACACTCTTCCGTATCGGGAAAGGTTTCAACAGTATCAACTGTGCGTCACAAGTGTCTGGATTCATCAACTTTTGAATGAAGCCAAATCAAAAGAAAATTTTGAATAATTTCATTTGAATCAGTGCGATGGCTCTGTTTTTCAGTGGTATATGGGTTCGATTGCCAATTTAGAATAGTTGATAGTAATGATGGTGGCGTTACTGTTTTAGTAGGATGATTACGAAGACTGTAAACTATTCATATATGATATCATTATTGCTGCCTTTACTAGAGAGACAGAGAACATTTGTACCGCGACCAAAGTCATTGCAAACATTCTTACGAAAGATCGCTGACTTCTCTGTCTGCACCAATTAAAATTTTTTGAAAACACGACTGAAAATTAAGGTTGTTTCAATATACACTTAGCTACAAAAGTGAGTGATACCATATTCACCTACTATTCATCTTTCGATTCCGCAATGATTAGGATGTTGCTGAAAACTTTTTTCTTTCGAAAGAAAGAATACAATGAAGAACTGAACTATACGTAGCGAACGGAAAGAATCATCGTTAAGAAAACTTTCACGAAAATGTCGACCAAGACAGCTGATTAACATTCAAGTTTCGTTTTTCTCTTTGTGATATTGATTGCCATTTATTAGATCAAAATCTTGGTTCTAATAAAATTTTCGATATATCTTGACTCGAATTATTGAAATTGAAAAGCATTTCGTTGTAATTCAATTTTGTATAAAGAATCTTGATGAACAATATTATGACGATGTTGTAGTTGCAATAGAATACTCAGATGATTTATCATTTATAGTTGTTAAACGAAAAAAGCTATATTAAATATTTTCCTTTTTACGTAGTGATGTATGTATGTTCTCTGTTAGAATATTAGTACTAAACCATACAATAAAACATGTCCTTGACTAGTGAGAGTTTTCTAAAATACTTTTTTTGCGTTTTTTACGGCCAACCTATTCAGTCGTCTATAATTAGACATGCACTCCACAAAAGAAAAAAACCTCGGATGCGATCATTCATATACTATTAGCAATACTAATCAATATTAAAAAGAACAAAAATTAAAAGAAAATGCGATTGTTGAACAACAGAATCTTTAAATAGATTACAGATGTAATGATGTCCAAATCATATAATCAATTATATTTTTTCAGTCGATCGAATTTCATACGTGAAATTCTATCGATGAATATCGAAAAATTAAAGAAATACCATAGAAAACTATAATTAGTGACATAACTAGAACAGTGTGTTACCAGCACATCATCATCCATAAATCATCAATCGGTCCTATGGCTTAGACCCTACTTTTTCTTCTTGATTTGTACTCTTCAATATTGACTACTGTTGTTGAAAGCATATGAATTCATCTGACTATACGCGTATTTATTTTTAATTATTCCCATCTGAAAACAAGCAAGTAATGAAAATAAGAAGTATATACTAGTTATCTAACTTATAAGTCATGTCTCTTGAAATATTATAAGCCTTAAGAGATATTTCTATTTTCCTGTTCGAATGAGACTTAATGCCAGATTTAACATCAAATGTATAATGTAGTAACTTCATTTATTGAATCATCCAAAATAACCATCGATTTAAACTTTTGTTAGTTTATTGATTACAAACAAAAAGAAAGCAAAAAACACAACGGTTTATCCATATTTCAAAAAAAGTTTTGGATCTTGCATAAATTCCTGTTATTATGTTAACATCGATCTTTATTCCATCAATACATAATTGCTTTTCTAAGCCAAACAAAACGACAATGCATTCATATTTATTCTAGACAAAAAATAAAAATAAAACATCATATGATGAGAACAGACAAAATGTTCTATATACAGGTATCTCAAGTTTCTCATGCAAAAGATATTGGTATTCCTACTTTTTGTATCATCGTGTATAATTAACGAAAACGTCTCCCACAATTGTTCAACCAGGTTTTTTTTTTCAATCTTTTCCACTGCCACCAACACTACTAAGAGTGCAAATAGTGATTTGTGTAGAGAATTTTTATTTTTAAGCAGAAAATTAATTACTAGTTTTTCAAGGATGGTATTTATGAAATGTCAAAAAGTCGAGTTTTTTAGTACCTGAAACTCACAAATAGAGTTCCGGTTGCATTAGACAGAATGAGAGAAGAAAAAATTGCCTACCAAAGAAAACATCTTTCAGCTGTCTGTAACAATTTTTAGGTCTAGATACATGAGTATTATGGAAAACACAAAATTCATTGTTGTACTTACCTTAAGATTCATGTATTTCTCACTCAAACAACGCCTTGACAGCTGGGAGATGTTCTATTTTGTTGGTAATTGTTTGCTCTCGCATTTTAAATGATTAAAACACAATTATATTTTGTAAAGTGTAGCAGTTGAAACCCTAGCGACAGTCTTCATCTGTAAAAAATCAAATTCTTTACACAAATCACTATTTAAATTCTTATGTGTATATTGCAGTAGAAAAAAGTTGAAAATATACTTGATCAAATAATTTCGAAAGTCACTATATGTCCAGGTGATAACATATGGATCGATTTTCGTAGAAAAACACCAGAAATCGATAAAACTTGGACTTTGTACTGTGAGGCTGAATACTCTCCGAACTTGTCGCCAGAAAACAGCCGAAAGTCATCCGAAAAATTCGCATAGACTTTTCGGTCTGAAACATTGCGTTCAAGTTTTGGACAGGTTTCATCAAAATACACTCGTTCTCGGAATCAAAAATCATCAACTTGTGTAATTATCTGTCAATGAGCCGTATGTGCATTGTGTTTATATTATAAATCAGTGCTATGTAGACGAGATTAATATTGAAAAGACGGTCATATTAGTCGAACCAATTTTTTCTTCTATAAAATAAACCAATACTCTGACGAACCGGATATGCATATTTACTTACCGTAGATTTATATCTGAGCTCGACATGACACAATTAAGATAAAGATTCGACAAATTTCTTTGTGAGAAATGAGATTAATAACAATGCATCTGTTCCATATAAAGTACGTGCTATTTAAAAAAGAAAGAACGGGGTGAAAAGCTATGTTAAGAAATATATTTTTATTTTTTGACGAAATAATTGAGTCAATATTAACCGCAATGAACCTTGAGAAACAGATATTTTCAAGAGTAACAATTTATAACATTGTCTAGAATTCAATTTCTGTTTCTCAATACTTGAATAATATATGTTGTGACGATCATGAACAAAATCATATCGATATGCTGTTTAGGAGACTTTGATTAATAATAATGTGACAATAGTACGTACAGAACAGATAATAATAGAAGAATATTTGATTAAAAATATATATTTGAATGTCGACATACTATATAGAAGAGAATTAGAAAACTGTTGAGAAATCTATTTTATGACACGAATAATACTCCATTAAATCCATATGACATTAAAAACAATATTTTAGTTCTGTTCAATGTGTAACTGAAATTCTTCTATTTCTTTCTCATCTAAACAATCTTACTTTGGCTATATATTAATTCAATCCACTTACATATGTCAAAAAAAATGGAAACTTATTAGAATAAACAATCTTAATAAGCTAGACTATTTCTGCTAGTGCATGTTATATTGAAGATTTTCAACCTTGAAAAACAAATTATACATCTTAGCAATAATATTTGATTGTCAAGATATTATAAACTTCTGTACACTATTTAACCTTTCATTTTGTCATAATTAGATTTTAATAAATGTAAGAAGATGTTCGAAGAATGTGCACTTATGATTTTTGTAGACATCAGAAGTTTGTAAATCATAAAGTAAAAAATAATTATTATGAATATCAAGTATGTAATCATCAATATAATAGAGAAAAACTAGCTTTCATCAACATAGAATACTATTCAAAAATAACCACTGACATTCTACGTGTGAGAATCGTTCAAAATCAAATAAACTTAAAACAATATTTTCTATCATTCAAACAAAATATTTATATTTAAAAAAAAGAGAACGCTTGCCATATGTTACTTCCACATTTAAATAATAGTAATTTGAATAATCTATTTACTATTTGTCTATTAGTTCAACATTCCTAATGATTAAGCCTGGAGCATTAATCATACAATACTGAAGCGATGTCTTTTTTTTCTTTTTTATGAAATATTGTTTGCTAGATTATCTAGAAACATTAATATTCATACTTGTCACTTTTGAATTCATCCTATAATTTACTATTAACGAGAAGTTTACCGTTCTGAATTGTTACAATCATATTATTAAAATTTTAATTTCAATAATTGGTTTCTATGCAAGTATTTCGCATGGTTTTCAAATTAAACAAATAAATATTAAAAATTCTGTTAGAAAAGAAACAGAATCAATAGTTAAAATTATATTTTACTTTTAGTTTATTTACTTTTGTGAACTTTTCTACAATATATGAAAGTAAGTTTCATCAATCCAAATAATTATAATCAATATGCAATGTCAATGTTCATCTTCTTAATTAAAGAAAAATCTTGTGAAAAGACAGACAGAATCCTAGTCATGGAAAAAAGAAGTCTGTGCGTGTCAATTTGACCAACGGATGCGATGAACACGTTTTATCGCATGTAGAGTTTTTCTTTTATTATTTTTTTATTTCATCTGAATGTCATTTAGCTTATACACAACAAAGAATTGTGCTCTATCTCACATTTAATTTAAAAGCCATGTTTTTTGAAGACCCTATTTGATTAATAATTATGACATTTTTTTTTGCTTCTGCTCATCTTTCTCCTTTATTCACGAAACACTACAACAATGAGAAAAATGAAGATAAAAACAAGTGAAGAATTAAAATTCATCGATTTTTTTTTCTCTTGATGATAAAATAATTCACCACAAAAACTTACGCACAGATATACAAAAATGTATTGCTAAGCATCTATGTAAAGGAATGATATTCTATTACATTTCTTCATTCAATCATTTTTTTTCATTGGTACTTTCTTTCTTTTTTTTTATTATTATTTTCTTAGTTTATGCACAAAGAGCATTTGAACGGCATCTTTGAAACAATTTTCGCGTTTTTCAGTCGATACTAATTCACCACAACGTTTATAAGCAGCTACTAATGGATTCCAATGTGGTCGATTGTTGCGACGTTGTGGTATTGATGACAATCCAATACGTGGAGTTGAACGTTTCGATTGTGCTTTCAATTCTTCAACAGTATCCTTGTTTTCATTATTGATTGCATTTATAAGAATATCTTCAAATACACTATGTTTAGTTTGTATCGGTAGATTCAATTGGTCTTTGAAAGATGAGCTCAATAAATACGATTGCTTAAAAAATATACAAAACATGTTGTATGAAAGAAAAAATAAATTTCCCTATTAACTTACATCATCATCAAATGGATAGATTGTGTAAAGAGATACAGATTGAACAAGAGTAAAGAATAATAGAAGACAACGGACATCAAATAATAAGGTAACCATTTTTGTATAAGAGCAAGAAAACTTTCAATATCTGAAGAAAAAAAACAGAGAAGTTGATACTTTTATACGATCCATGAATAAATGAGAAATACGTAAAGCTAACATTTGTCTCTTCTTTTTCAGTTAATACGTGGGCGAGAACGAATGAAAGAAAGAAAACAAGAGAAAAGATTTTACAAACTCTAGGAGTATTGAAAAAAAGGAATAGTAAAAAATGTTGACGATAAAAAAATAATAATATAATGATGATGACGTATCATAAAAAAATTAGAAAACTCTTTTTTTAATTACAACGTTTATTTTCCTGTTCATCACTCTAAATATAAAATAGAAGTTGACGTTTTTTTCTTATCATGAAAATAATTGATGATATTACTGTTGTTGTTGTTGATCAAAAGATCAAACAGAATTATTACGATGGTATCATTGAAATGAAGATTTTTAAAATGAAGAGAATACCTAGAATGAATCACGAAAACTATTCATGGTATGACGACTTTTCTTAAACACTTTATCATTAGTACATGTGTAAATAGCATCTTAGTTCATGAAAAAATCTTTATACATTATTATACAATGAATTGCATGACATCTGCGAGTTGAGTAATTTTAAAAAAATCTACATACATTCACTTTGACAAACTCACTATAGCAAAATATTTAAAAATGCTCTCTTTTTATTGAGTCGAACATTCAATTCGATATTTACTTGTTTAAGACTCCCGTATCCTTATTGTAGTACTTATTAGAAGAGAAAGACAAAATGAGAATATTTCTTATATTCTAGTATATATCTGGTGTTGTTTTTCATCTTTCTGAAATAAGAGTATCATGAAAGCTTGTCTGTTGATGAATAAAAAAACACAAAGTTAAGCCGATATTCAATAATTAAAAACTAAAACTCATGCTTATCGCAATCTGATCTTGTTTTACGATGCGGTATTTAGCTTTAGGATAAAAAAAACTCGAGAAGCTTTTTAATACAAAACAAAAAAAGAAAATCAATTAGGAAATACTCTATTTTATGAAATAAACATAATGGAATATGCCTAAAGAAAAAATGACTTTTTTTCTATCGAGCCACAATTTAAAAGACGTCAATATTTGGGAAAGAAATATTCTCATATGACAAAAAAACTAATCGGAAACGATTAAGTATCCAACTACTTTGCTATACTTTATGTTTCTTTACCTATTTTAATGAATGGCTGTAATATAATGAAGAATTGATTCTTTAACGAAATATGTTGAACAATCTATGACATCTTATATTACTTTAAATAAGAAATCAATTTATAATTCAAAAGAAATATTCTATAAAAATCTAAGAAAATAGTTCAATTACACGACAAACTCATCGATTTTTTATCCTCAGCTTTCAACCAACAAACCTATCATTATTTTTACCAATAAATGTTCAAACAATACAATGTAACGTTCAAGTATTTAAAGAGGAAAAGTTACCGTTCCCTCCTCCTCCTTTCCATTTCTTAACTTCCGAGGTTGATAAACCAAATTATACTAACATGATGCATAAAAAAAAGGCAATATTAGGTTTTCTTAGAAAATCTTCTTATTAGATGAAAAATTATTGTTAATTTTCTTTCATTTTCAAGACAGTCTTTCGAGAGTCTGCAAATGCTAATCTTATTATCTTTTTGATTGAAACTTTTAAAAATTCACATAATAATTCAACTTGGATTTATTTGAGCCGTTATTTGTCTATAACGTAGACAAACAATTTTTATTTGATATAAATTTTATATTAACATATCTTCAAATATTATTTCACCTAGCAAACAAGGAAATTGACAGGACATTGCAAAATAATGAATATAGATTATTCGTTTTTACAGAAAAAAATAACAGTTGTTCTGTTTTATTTATAATTGAAATAGACTGCACGCCATCTCATTGACTTTCATAATGTTGTTATTTCACTTGTTTTTGTCATAAATTATTTATGCATTAAACAAAACGTTAATAATGCTTTAAATATTAATTATGTCTGAGAACGAAATTCGTTATTTACTATTATAATGTAATCATTCAAGCATTATGCTTTATTTTTCTAAATCATTTGTCATTTTGTAAGATTAATGAAAAAGAATTTTTATTAGAAGGATGAATTTTGTGCAGTAGTAGTAGGTCTCGAGTTTTTCGGATAGAGAGACGATTGTGGTCACAAAATGTGTTTTGAAGTTCATTAGCCATCACATAGCTTCTTTTTTAGACGTTTTCTGCAGAGAAATATATTTCAGAAAAGAATAGCAGCTGGCCCCAGTGCCTCTCTTCTAACTTCGTCATTGGCTTTTTTGTTGACATTCATTAAAGAATACAAATCAAATTTGCTTCAAAAAATTTACAGTTTTATTTAAACTTATACATATCCTTTACATAAAGCAAATGTATGATCAGGTCCAAGTGCTACAGAAATAACACGTGCAGGTACAAAAACACGCATTGGCATAGGTGCATCTTCATCAAATTCAACACCTAATGCTCCATATCGATTTTTTCCCCACATAAATAGTTCTCCGTTATTTGTTATTGCTGCTGTACTAAGTAAACCACATATAACATGATCGATTTTAACATCAAGATTAAATTCACTTTGTCCAAATAATTCCATAGGCATTTGTTGTGGTATATCAATTGTTGTATGTTTTGGACCAAAACCGAGTAAACCAAAACCCCACATATATAATTTACCTTGACAATCAACAGCTGAACATAATGAACCACCAGCAGCAACACATTTAATATTTTTCAATGAAGATCCATCACGAAAACGAAGATGTCGTGGTTGAGTACATTGTAATGATTTCGGTGAATCAATCGGATCATTCATAATTCCTAATTGACGATATTCATTATTACCCCAACCAAATACATCGCCAGATTTATTCAAAACTAATACAGAATCACCTTTGGATGCTATTTGAACAATATGTTCATGTTCAATATCTCCACGAACTTGTTCGGGTCTTGAGACACATTCATAATGACCAACACCTAATTGTCCATCAGTATTTAAACCACAAGCATAAACACGACCTTTTTCGGTAAGAAATAATGTATGATCTTGACCACAAACAATATCAATTATTTTATCATCATTGTCATTTAAATCAATGTTAAATGAATGAATTAACATACTATTCTTATAAATTTCATGAGGTACTATTTGACGAGCACATTGACCAAATGCATTATTACCAAATGAATAGAGACCTAAAAAACGAAACGATATTTTTTTAATACGAAATTAAAATTTACGTGAAATAATATTTTGAACGTAATATTCTATTAATGTACGGATCTAACGTATATAACACAAGTATAAAACTCAAGAGGTGAGAAATATTCAAGGGCTAAGAAACATGAATTTCTTCTGAGTGCGGACATGGATGTGGATTTTTTTTTCATCACATTCATACCCTATTATTTCTTGTTGATATCCTTATATATCTCTCAAATTTCGTATAGAATAACATATCTTCATTTCTCTGGACGAGAATCATAAAATAAACTTTTTTCTTTCAGCCAAATCAAAGCTATGTAGTAATCGCTAGTTTATGGCTCTACAACCATTGAGCATTACGACACTCAATCGTCATGCGGAAAAATAAAGTCAGCAAAAAAATTCTTAAAATTATAGAGAAATAGTTCAAACGAGTTCAGACAATAACTAACCATCTATTCAACGGTCACAAACATTATATATGAGTACAAAGAAAAATGTCTAATGAATTCTTCTAATTCAGCATAAAGCCTTACACTAGAGTAAATAGTAATGGCTTTAAGAATATTTCATAATCCTCTATAATGTTTTCTTTTTTATGGAGCTTCTGTCTGCTGTGTTATTCATTGTTTCGTAGCATTTTGATTAATTCAAAATGTCAATGTAAACAGTTAATTATCGGGCATCATCGAGATCATTTGCATGAAACCATATCATAAAATAAATCTTTATTTTCGTATGCCGCTCTCATTCTTACACAGTGCTGTATGTGATTGAATCATTTGTCTGTAAATTGAGGTTTATAATAAATGAAATAGAAGCCAAGCTTCTGTCAAGCATGTGACTAAGTCTTGTAGCGTCCATTTGTCACTTTCGCTTGGTATATATCATCGCTTGTCATAAATATATTAAGAACTTATACCTCAAGCGAAGATTTACATACATAGAATATAACGTCAAAATCCATGTTACAAAAATTGAAGATGTATGTTCATTCGACTAACCTGATTTATCTGTTAAAACAACTGAATGTGCTCTACCAGCTGCTATTTGTATAATTCTTGTTGATCTTGGATGTTTAATAGGTAAATGAATTACTTTTGGTACAATAACATAATCACCAAAACCTTTTGGATGATTACGATCTCTAAAAAATGTCAATTGACTATCTGTATTAAGACCACATGCCCATAATTTATCATATTTTAATGTATTGGAAGAAAATAATGTAAAACCATTTCCACATGCTATACGACTTATTTTTATTTGATGTTCATAAGAAAATGGATGTCTATAAGGAATTGAACGGCGAAGACGAGTTTGTTGTGTTGAATCAGTTTGTTTTGGATCAGGTCGTTTATTGACAAAATCAAAAACACCTAATGCTCCTGTTCCAATATAACCCCAACAATAAATAGATGGATAAAGACGAGCACGTTCACCAACAAAACTTACTGTTGGTACTGGTTGTTTTTTTGAATTTATTATATTTATATTTATATAACGTAAAAATAGTTTTTTATAACATTTAGAACTAATCTTTAGAGGTTGCTGAATATTGTTCATTTTATCTGGAATTAATAAAGCAATGTAAATAGAATAAATTACTTATATCTTTATCATCAATCGGCAATAAAATTAAAAGCAAAATGAAAAGAAAATATCAGTCATGGTTTAAGACAAGGAATTTGTAAAACTTGTGGATCTGTCCAACCTTGTTGCATAACAGAATATGGAAATGATTCGATACCATGACAAGCAGCACCATGTCGTCCATCTTTATCAAGTGCTAATACAGCACCAGTAAAATTCGGATAAGATTTTGCAATACGTTTTATTGCATCTAAACATGCTTCATCAGGTGCAACACCTTGTCGCATTAATTGTACAGCATGATAAGAAGGAACAAAACGTTGCATAACATCACCATCACCCGTAGCACATGCACCACCAACTTCATTATCAACATAAGCACCACTACCCACCAATGCTGAATCAGCAACCCGACCAGGAATTTTGAATTGAAGACCATTTGTTGATGCACCTGCTGCCATATCACCATTTGAATCTAAAGAAATCATACCAATTGTATCATGTTCTCCACAAGGTAATTGACCATGAGATGGAATCTTTTCATCTATAAATTAACAAAAACTATTAGTTAAATTCATTCAGTATTAAAATGTGAAACACGATGCCACTGCTCTTGCTAATTTCAGAGATGATGTTTTCTTATGTCTATTTTAGAACATATTTGTTCATCTTTCTTTTACATAATCCTTCACAAATGCAATAAGGAAATATTTCAAATTTGATAACGAGACGCTATGAATATGCGATCTGTAATGAGAGCTCGTTGAGTTGGTTCAAGATTCGGACTTCATCAGATCCAAAAATATTTAATCAGATGGGTTCTATCTGTTATTGTATGTCAACAGTGTCTATCACTCACGGTCTATGGAAAGGGGTCCAAATTTTTATTTCCATACTTCTACACTCATTTGAAATCATGTTTCACAAAATACAATGCTGTATATGGAAAAATGTAAATGTTACCACATTCAAGTTTGGGTGTGTATGGGCCACAGCTAGTCGTTGGATCTGGTTGTACATTACGTCGAAAATTTGGTTGACAACTTTGATTTTTCCATTTATTCCATAGTTCAATAGATGCATTACTATGAAGATCTTCTTCTTTAAAACCCATTTCAATTGCAAATTTAGTTGCACTTTCACCGACTAATAATGAATGTGTTGAATATTGTAGAACAGCACGAGCTACACTAATTGCATTTTTGATACGATGTAAACTAAAATTAAACGAAGGCAAACATATATAAAAAACATTATGTTGAGAAAAACTCAAGCAAGGACACATATCTTTCTTATTCTAAACAATCTACTGTAATTATAGTGATATGACAGAACATATTCGAAGAAAATTTTCTTCATTATTACCTATAATCAACCGAACTTGTAGTGATAGAATTGTAATTTTTATAGTCGGAAATAACTATCTCTCTTTTCTTTAATGATCTTTAATGAAAGACAGAATTTATCATAGCTAGAACATAATCAAGCCAAATACTTAGCTCTAGTCTAAGCCTAACAAATGTTTACCTTCGATATCCTAAGTTTCACTGTTGTTCTCATTATCAGTTATTCAATAAATTACTCATAAATCTTTCTGACACCATTTTGTAGAAACAAAGAATGAATGAACTATATTTTCAAATGAATTTAAAAGCTTATTCCAAAAAAAAGTTGATGTACTTTGCAACAGCACCAACACTCATTGTACGTCCATCTATAATAAGAGCATCCAATGTAGTTTCTCCATCTTCGGCCGGATGATTTCCCCATCCTACACTACCATCACATTGTTCATCTTCACATGTTCGACAACCAACTTCAACAGCGTCTAAACATGTTGCACCAGATGTCATCATTTTAGCAAATGCATTTCTTGTTGCATTTATAAATGGCCATGTATTAACAACAATTGGTGATGATGGTACTTGTTTTGCAGTCGACATTTTTAAATGACAACCCAATAGAAGCAGCAGACAAAGAAGATTTGTACCCATCGAAATAAATAAAATAAACGAAATAAGAAACAATATCAAACTTTTTTGATATCTTTCTTCTTCTTGTTGTTATTTTTATATTAACAGTAAAATAAAGTCAATTATATTTTATACAGAAAAACAACAACAAAAAAAAACTAAACATTATTTAATACAAAAACGATTTTTTGGTTGTTCATGTGTACTCCAACGTTTTTCAGGATCATATGGTTCCCAACGACATGCAGGAAAAATATGTTTATTTCGTTCATACCATGAACGTAAACAAATTTTTCCTGCATGAGATATTGTTTGTCCTGATGACTGATTATCATTCGATGATGATGCTGAATCATTTGTATTTGTTGCATTTGTTGTTGTAGGAGCTGTTGCTGTTGTAGTCGTTGCTGGTACTTCAATAATAGCATTTGGTTTAAGTGGTTCTGTAAATGTAAATAAAAGTCCTGTACGACCACGAGCACGTGTTACAATAAAATCGTAAAATGAATAATGATGTGGAAGTATAACATCATCTTTAACAAATATAAGTTGATCAACTGAAGCTGATTTTAATTCATTAAACATATTTTCACGACGAAGAATTTCAAGTGCTTTTGAAAGAAACATTTGTATGGTCATACGTTTTTTAATTCGAACTGAACGACGATGTCCTGAACCATCCCAATAACTAAAAACAAGATCAACTTCTTCATTTTTTAATTTTAGTTGTTTTTCAACCCATTCTTGACGAAGTTTTTCACGTAATATTCGTTCTTCTTCTTCACGATCTTTATCTGGTAAAAAACTTGTATCAACATCTAAATGATAAATAGTTAATATTATCATAGAATGTAAGTTTTTCTTACCTGGATTTTTTCCAAGACGTTTCTTTTTGCTTGCAGCAACAAGACGATCAAGTTCAGCAGGTGTTGGACCTTGTTGTGATGAGCTATCATTACTATCAACATCTTCATTTTTTGGTATATCATTTGATAATGAATTATCATCAGTTGTAATAGGCTAGAAGATAAGAACAAATATGAAATATTTTTTTACTAAAGATTACATGAGAAAATGTTTAGTTTTGATATAAGATATATCTGAATATTCTGCTATTTGAAAAAAATTAAAAGATTATATTAGATACTGTAAGGTATATTTTCAGAGTAGACAGATCTCAACAAGTGGAACTATATATTTAAAAATTCCGAAAATGCTTTCCTCTATAGGAAATATCGTGGCCACTCAGAATAAAAATCAATTCTGCTCCCTTAATCGCCATGCTTGCCCAACGTCGATATGTCTGCTAGAATTGAAATGTTTCTACACATACTAGACATTGTTTGGGATAGCTACTTTTCTTCCATTCGAATAGAAAGATTCAAATACTGAGTGTACTCACAGGAATGCATGGTATTTTTTTTTAGCGAGAACTTTTTTTGTAAATTCTAGCAAAAACTAGTGATACATTATATGTTAAAATAAAAAATTAGACACTCTGAACATATTCTAGTATAAATAAAAACAAGGATTTCAACTTAATCGGTTATACTATGGTTGAGCAACATTAGTGATGGCGCACTGTCCATCAGCATATCGTACTACCGATGAGACCATTGCATCGTTTTTATGTTACAAAAAAAATTAACACCTCTCAAGTTTTTTATGACCTACCTCTTCGGTTTTGAACAGTTGTTTTTTTGTGATTGATTCATTATCTTCTTCATTATTATCTTCTTCTTCTTCTTCTTCTTCTTCCCATTCATCAGCAAATGATAATTTATTTGGTCGTTGATGTGCACCCGCATCTTTTCGATTATTTAGTTTATTTTTCATTGATTCACTAAGTTTAGCTTCTTTTTCTCTAGCTAATTGTTGTTCACGTGCACGAATCATTTCTTCTTGTTTTTTTTTCATTTCATCTAATGATACTAACCCAACTGTATCAGTTTTAAGCATTTGTTCAACAGCATCATAATGTGCTTTAAATTTTTCTTCAATAGCTTGCATACGATTTTCTTCTTCAATTTTTTTCTTTTTCATTTCTATTTGTTCATGTTCTTGTTGACGTCGTTTTACTAATTGATCAGCACGCATCTGATCTTTTGTTGCTCCTAGAATAACATGAATATTTATTTGTCTTTTTTCATCACCAAGAAAAAAACAAGAAACTTACCTGGAAAAAATGCCATGATTATATATAGATAATCTACAAAAAGAAATGAGAGAAATTTAAGAATCATTGTTCATATTTGAGAATTCTGTTTTTTTTTTCTTATAAATAGAACCAAACAAACTATCTGACACTGTGATTATTTACAAGACAGAGAAAAAAAATATATATAATATCTGATGAAAGAAGAAAATGCACACGCTAATAATAATCGTTGAAAAAAATTTAATCAAGACCACCCGATAGAATTGCAAAGTCGGACCATTGTAATGAACAACCACGAAAGCCAAGACAATGTCGAAGACTAAAAAGAAAAATATTCATATGATCTATGTATAAAAAGTCTTTGCATAACATTGTTGACCAATCGAATTATATATTTAGAATTTTTTCTGACATTAAAGTTTAAGAAAAACAAAACCATCAGAGAGAGATATTCTCGTTAACAAATAACACTAAAATAAGTATATATGGGTGATTTCATTGATTAGACAAATTAAAAATAACAAGATTAGCCATGTAATGCAAAAAAAGAGACCCAATTTTTCACTGATTGCATTTCATAGAGAAATCTTCAAGCTACAGAATCTTAATACAACGTTCCTTCTGAATATGCTTAAGTTTTGCAAAAACTTAATATTGTTCATTGTTAGAGACGTAAGTAAAATTAAAGATTGAAATGGAAAATTCTCTTCTAACTGGATGAGAAATCAAAAAAACCAAATTCTAAATGGTATGGTTCTCTCTTGAAGATCGTGAGATGATAACAAAACAAAAAATTTCTTTCTTGGACAAAAGCAGATCCGTGGAAACCATTTCAATTGTAAGATGAAGCATTTATTCGCTAATTGCGTTTTAATGAAATTTCATTAGCTCTGAATTTACGAGGGTGTGGATGTGGGTGTGAGTTTGTATGTTGTTCTTCTCCAGGTCCACACTCACAATCACATCATTATGGAAACCCTTGTTTACTCGTTCGAAAATTCAAAATTCAATCACTATCTCAGTGGTTTATATTTGGAGCCATTCTCAAGTTGTTCGGCATATATCTACAAGGTGTTGTACTCCAAGTTCAATACCCCAATCCACAGAACAACCTTGGATAAGTTTACTAACAGCTGTTTGTTGCGAATCATACGTCCAACAACATGCTGGCTGAGTTGTGACACAATCTATTCTTGTAATCATTTAGTGTTTATGAGAAGTGCAACAACTTTGCTTTAGGCTGACCTTCTATTCAGAACTGCAGCTAATAATAATTTTAGGGAAAATATCTGACTAATGAATCTATTGCAAGACAGACTTATTCTTCCTTCCTTCATATTTGTCATTATAAGTTTCTGATTATGATTGCGGAAAACAATTCTTTAAGTATACCGTCTTCTGGAATTCGATTCAACAGCACGAGTTTGTTCATTTTGACAAATTTGTCTTATATATGGTCGATAATCAAGATAAAATGCTGAACGATTAGTGATATTATCAACCTCTTGTTCTTGCATAAAAATTTTAAACGTATCATACAATTCAATTCTAAAATTTGATGAAAAGAAAAAAAAAAACATTAAATTTTTTCATTTCATATAAGACTTCATTTACCGTTTAGAATCATTTTTACTATGATTTGCTAATAAACAATGAGATTGTTCATATTCCGATGTATATTTTATAGTAAGATTATCAAAATGTGTTTTAAGTATTGATTCATTCCATTGTTCACAAAGATAAGAATAATATATTGTATCAAATATACGTGACGATTGTAATTTTGGTTTATTGTTATTTATTAAGCTTTTATCTATTGATGATGTAGAAATTGTTGATGATTGAGCAAGAAATTGAAGTGTTAATAAAATTCGACGTAAATCATATGAACATGATTGACAAAGTGATACTAAATCATCAAATGAAGATATTTCAAGCATTTCAACCAGTAGTATTAATCGAAGAAAACAATAAATATGTTTCTATTCAAAAATAAAAAAGAAACTATTAAAAAAGAAAAAAACAAGATTTTAATTAAATCTATTTACAGGTTCATTTGGTTCGAGATGGATCATTTCATAATCTCCTAGTTTAGATAAATTAATCATAGCATCTTCGGGATTACTTCTACTATTTGATGTAAGTATAATTGGTTTTTTAGCTGTTTCAAGAATTTTTTTTAAACATGACCAAAAATTATCATCGGTTGTTAATGTTTCAATCTAAATAAAAAATAAAACTTATCAAAATTCTTTACTTTGTTATGAAAAATATATTCAACCTCATCAAAGAGTATTAAAGATGTTTTTTCGACATGAACAGATGATACTAAATTATTATCAGTTGCAATAGATTGTTGTTGTATTTTGTTTTGTCTTGTTGTTATAGTTTTTAATTTTGTTGTTGATTTTGATCGATTACATGATTGATTTTCTTTACGTTCATCATTATGATCATTTTTTTTATTATTAAAAAATGACATTATTGTACCACGTTCATTTTTTGCTTTTTTCTTTACAGGTAAGGAAATCTTTTCTTTTGATTTATCTTCTAATCATAAAACGAAAATAAAAAAAGTATTAGAGATTACAGTTATTAAATCATCATTTTGCTACCTTTTGATATTATCGTATCTGACGAACAACGTTTTAATGATAGATAATGATGACTAGTGACTTGTTCTAATTGTTTAAGTAATGATGTACGTGCACGAGATTGAGTTCCATTGATTTCAGTTATCTAAAAATAAGAATCACCATCTATATTCACTAGTAATATTTAGAGGAGAAAATTGTTGCATGATGTGTTAAGCGAAGATTTATGATTTATTCTACGAAGGAAGGTCTCCCTTTTGCAAGTGAAATCATACTTTTGAGTTTTGATCTATGATGACTTGAATTAGACTAAATTCTAGAGCACATTTCAAAATATATAAAGAGTTGTTACATTTTTTTCTACCAGCTACTCTCATTGAAACCTTTAGTTGGGTACGGTGAAAATTCAAAAATATAATTTTGCTTGAAGACGGAAGCCCTGATGAAAAAATTCTGAAACACATTTTGTCAGCTCATTGCACACAATATCAACTATCGATACACTAACAAAACTTAGAATACTGTTTAGAAATAGTATGCATATTTGTTAGATGTGTAACTTGAATTATATAGACGCTAAATCAATAGCCGATATTGAGATATGAAGCAAGGCTTTGTATTTCAGACGATTCGAATGGAATACACCATTATTTTACAAATCATAAATATAAAGTAGGAACTACGATTAAAAAGTGCATGTGCTAGTTAGGGCAACTCCATTATTGTCTTTTTGTGTGCTTCTGGCAAATTTGTTTATTTCTGAATGACACTGATCAAGTGTGTAAAAATCTGTAATTGGATATACTTTTCTTTAGCATGAAATTGAGTAGTCAGAAAAACAGTACTTACTAAAATAGAAAAGTTCATTGATTTTTCAACTAAAAGATAATTTAAGTTTAGTCTATAGAAAAACTTAGATGAGGTATGTTTACTTCGGTAGAATCATATATTTATATCCTAGGATAAATATCTGTAATCTTAAGAATGAAAAATGAAGATTTCTCGACATAGCTTTAAGAATTGTCGTATCTATCTGATGATCTAACGGTTTCGGTTCCAGGCTTTGGCATTGCTGCATTCTACTACTGACAATACTTTTATACCATCATACATAGCGTCTCTATATGAATGAATATTTCATAGCGATTGATTTTTTAACTGATAAAATATGATTTTTGAATTTCCCTCTAAACAAGTTCAAAAAAAGAACTACTAATACATTTTTCTATATGCGTACTTTAAAATTATGTTCTTCTGCAAGTGCATGTACAAGTGATGTTGTTCCACATCCATGAATAAAAATTATTTGTGGATATTCTTGTTTGAATTGACAACGGTTATGATATGCCGTATCTGAAATAATCATATCAAATTATTTGTAATAGATAGAATAAAAACTAAAGAAAGAAATATGCTGGCTCGACATACTCAGACATGATGATAATCTAAGCATAGTTTACACTTTTCTCGTTAAACTTACTAGAATCGCTGATAAAATCTTCATCGGAATTATCATCATAATCTCGTCCTCGTTTTCGTCCTTTGCGTGTAGTTTTTTTCGATGGTTCATTACGTAATTTTTTTGTCCAATACAAAAACCATTCATTTAAACGTCGAATTTGTTTTGTATGATTACCAAGATAAGTTTTTGAGTTTCGTGGACGATAAATTTCTGTCCAAGGTAATTGTTCATATTGATCTATAAATAAAGAAATGATTTGTTAGAATATTAAAAAATAAATTGATACTATTTACGTTGTTCTATTGCCTTTTTTCGATAGTCTTGTAAACATTGAAACATTATCTGCCAGTCAATTGTTGATTGAACATCAAAATTTAAATCATCATTTGTATATTGTTGAAATAATTCTGTTTGTCGCTCAATAGATGGAATGTGAATAAACTTAAATATATAAAAGAAATTATCTTATAGATTATATATAGAATTCGATCAGAATACCTGAAGTTTTGGTGAATTAGTTTCATTATTATTAATTGTTGGACAAATACGATAAAAATTTTGCAAATAAGTCAATGATATATCATCATTTGAATCAGTTAAGTTCCATTGATTAAGTAAAGGAATACAATTATTCTCCGAAGATTTTTCTATTTGACGTATATGAACAGGTAAAAGAAAATTAGATTGAGGAAGATGAATTTCTTGTTCTTCATTACATGATTTTATGTCAGATTCACATTCTATTAAATCTAATAGAAAATTCATTTTCTATATTGATGCAAATAAATTCAAATTTGAATGAATTTTTCGTCTTAACATGGCTTCGAGAATACAAAATTGACTGCTCCAGAAAAACATATTTCTACGTTCACTCTCTCAAATTTATTGTCTTTTGAATTCTTAATAACTCATGTCATATCTCATTGTGTATCAGTCGTTATTTCATGCTGACTTTCCTTACAAAATTGTTCTATTGTAAATTCAACCGCTGTTCGAAATGCCATCGGAATGCTAATGAAATTCTGCATGTAATTTTGACATAATGATTTATTTAACTTCATCCAAAATTCTATGAAGTCAACTGATGCTTTCCTCGTTTGTTGGAGAAGTTCTCGCGGACTAATTATCATCCAAAAAAATGTATTTTTTTAAAACCTATACCTTCATCTGTATCATTTAAGATTATTGGTGATTGTCTTTGAGATTTATCGAAACATTGAAAAATTGTTTTTTGTGTTAATTTCATAATCAGACATATGATAAAATGAATAAAAGTTTTATTCAATGGAAGCAATATTCTTCTTGCTTTTTTTTGATTGGTTAATATATTTCATCAATAAGAAAATTCAATTGAAAATAAATTTATATTTTTTATTAAATAAAAATAAAAATATTTTCATATCATAAGAATACATATTTTTATTTTTTTTTATTCGAGGACATCGATTGTAGCGACATAGACAAGTGTATTGAATTATCAAGATGTTTGTTGTTTATCTGTCTATAAAGCAGTTGTCATTCTAAATAATGTTTTATCAGACGTGATGATCTTTTTCTTTTATCAATGGGATCAAAATCCTCACCGTCCGATACAGTAAGCAAAGAAAAAAACCGATTGTTTTTTGTTTCATTTATTTCATTGTTTTTTTTTAAAGATTAATCTCAAATTAATTCTTGTCAGTGGTAAAACAGCTGAATTTCAGTTTCGACCAACGACAACAGCATCTGATGTAGCTAAACATGTTTTTGAAAATTGGCCCGAAGGTTAATAAAAATTAATTTGTATCTTGTTTTTTCCTAACTTTTCATTCTCAATTAGATTGGAGAAATGAACAACGAGTTGATCGTTATGAAGTATTAAGATTAATATATCAAGGAAGATTTTTACATGGAAATGTCACATTAGGAGCTTTACGTCTTCAACAAGGCAAAACAACTGTGATGCATCTTGTTCCACGTGAAAATTTACCTGAACCAACTGATGGCGATCAAAAACGAAAACATAAACATGACCATAATCAAGATCGAACAGCCGATCATACACAAAATGCTATGTCATCCCATCGATCAGACACTGCTAGTCCGAATTCAACAACAACTGGGTGCTGTGAAGGATGTATTATAATATAAATAGGAAAAAAATCAAAGTGCCTATGAAACGTTTTGTTCTTTGCTTGTCAGATGATAAATCTAGGTTCATACATGCATATTCTCTAAAGGCAACAACCGTCCTTTGTCATGTTTTTTTTGTACGTGCCGGTGGGTTTTTAAATATATATGAAAATATGTTCTATTGTGTTTTGAATTCTTATCGTGATTTACTTCTTTATTAATTATTGTGTACAACAAAAATTTTGCTTATTGTTTCTGTTTTGTTTTCTGATAATTATTACCCTATGTTCTCATTTCATTCACACTTAATGTTGTTGTTTTCTTGTAATTAATTTGATATATGCATATAAGAAAATTTCTAACTTATTTAAAAATAAAAAAAAATTTGTATTATCGAATTTTGATTACGTAATCTTTACAATATTATTGTGTAAATTTGAAAATGCAAAATAAGTTCTTTCGTATATATTTTTTTTCACATATTAGTTTCACAAATAGTAAGTCGAAACAACAGACAAGATAAATAAATATAAATGAAAATGAAACGACGTGAGAGAAGTCGGCAGCAGATTATAGTTTTTTCGAAAACGATTCGCTCGATTCGTTGAGACAATTCTGGAATAGGGTGAGCCAGATACAGCTCGACGAGATCGATTCAATGGTGAATTCAGATTTTTGATGAAAGCTACTTGAAAAAAAGCTAGAGCGAAAAGATGCATTGTTCACTGTAGGAAAAAAGGAAAAAAAAGTATTTTCCACGACGATTTGCTCCATCCCTTGAACCACTCATGAAGCCTAGCTCAATCGATGCAGTTTGTTGATCTCTATCCAATAGTACAGATTTTATTGAACTGAAAACACACTATGATCAGACAGGAGTTTAAGAACAACAGAAAACTTTTCTTTCGAGTGTATTTCCTTTGATGATTTGCCCCATCAGTTGAGTCACTCATGAAACTAAGCTCAATCGATGTGGTTCGATGAGCTCTATTAACTCTTTAATGACCGGTGATAGAAGTATGTACCACTTTTTGCTTTCGATTGCAAAACTATAATGAACCAGGTTCAATGACTCTGATAGAAAGAACAATAGTACTGCAGTGAACCCATTACTTATTTTGTATAGCAAGCGGTTCTTGTGCCATTGGTTTGATAAACAACTAGGGTATGGAAGTGAATGTAGATATGAATCTTTTATTTACATCCAAGAACTTCCACATCTTCGTGTATGATAATCTAGATCGCGGTCTACTTGGCCGTATCATCATTATCGATGAAACTTAACCATCCCAAAGTTTGGCCCTCAAAGGGTTAAATAGTATAGGTTTTATTGAACTGAAAGCAAAGATTGGTCAGTCAGAAGACCAGAATCCCGAGAACCAGTCAATGCATTTCGGTGAGCCCTGGCGACTGGTTTTGGTTTAATTGAATTGAAAGTAAAGTATTGTCGTCCAGAAAACTGATTCTTCTGGATGCATTTGTTGCGGCCATTCAGTTTCTGCTTTGAACCAGCCATGAAATCTAGATCCATCGATGCAATGTGAGGAACTTCGTAAAATAGTATATTATTCGTTCAATGGAAAATGAACCGTGGTTCTCCGAAAATTGTAGTACAGAGAAGCTCAAGTGTGCAAATAATAAAAAGCTAGAATCTCAGATAGTATTGTCGCTGTTGGTGCAGCCTAGTGGTTAAGCTACTTGATAGGCTGAGCTTTGTTTATGGACCTCGATGGAGGGCTTGGTAAATTCCGCTTTCCAGGAAATTCAAAATTGGCTACACCTAAAGTGCAGGAGATTGCAATGAGCAGTATTAATGTGACAATGCCCAGAGCTAATTTTCATATATAGAGGCACATTACATATTATTATATATAGCTGTTCTGATACTATATCATAAAAAAATGCGTGTATAACAGATCTCTATTATTTATATTCTTATCGAATCATGGCACGCATTTTTATATATACTTAATATATGGTTTCATTTAGGGTTGGGTTGGGTCGAGTTGGATTGGACCGGGTTGGGTCGAGTTGAGTTGGGTGTGTGGATGGGGTGGGTGTGTGGATGGGGTGGGTGTGTGGGTATCGCTGTGACATTAACAATTACAACACCCACACGCACACCCCATATCATTTTCTATTTTTATTTTCATATTAATAAACACACGCAATGGAGCGACCATGGAAATATGAGAATGAAATGGACTGAAAGTTAAAACAACATTGGATGAATATGATTCAATTGGACGATGCATTGATATTTCATTTTTCTCAATGAGTTCATCTATTCTATTCCACAATGACGAAAACTGTTATAAACAAACAAGGGATATAAACATATATATATATATACCGAGAAAAGTGTTGTAGTCAGGATAAAATATGAGTCGATCGGATGTTAATCTATTGGATCTACCTGATGAGATATTACTTACTATTTTGAAAAAACTGAACAATATTGATGTGCTTTATTCATTATTGGACGATAATAATAAACATCTATGTAGTCTAGCACAAGAAAAAATCTTCACTAATGCTCTCAATTTTGTATCCATTGATAACATTTCATCAATTGATCAGCACAAACTTGATCGATTTTGCATTCATATATTGCCGAAAATTCATCAAAATGTGGAATGTTTTATTGTTGAACCAACCTCAATGAAATGTATTCTTCTTGCTACTGATTATCCAAATCTAACTGAACTTAAACTTTTCAATTTCAATCAATAAATCGCTTTAAATTATTTTATAATTATAGTCCTTTGGTCTAAAATTTAGATTGAAATTTTGCATTTTTTCAGTTTTGGTTTTTTTTTATTCTTTTTATTTTTCATATGCAATAGAAGGTATTTATTATATATAATGGCTATGGCCATAGAGAGGTAGTGACTCCCTACAATTAACGCTACGTTAAAAAACGACAGCTATTAAGATATAGGTATAATGACTCATATTATCCATAAGTAATACTTTATCGTATCTTGATCTTTTTAATATTCCTCTTCTGTGTTTCTTATATCTTTATTGATTGAATATTTACTTAACCCTTAAAAGCCGGAAGGCCTTATCGTCGCAATTTGAACAAATTATTCGGTAAAACAGAAGGTGTAGTATCTCAATAAGAATCATTGATAATAAAAACAAAAAAAAAATTTTTTCTTACGGAGATATAAAATGTCCCTTGGAAGGGACATTCGGTCGTAACGGTCCAAAATTTTTCACTGTTATCAATTTATGTAAAAGCAATTTTTTCTTTAAAATACCTCTATTTATATGTTTCTTATTACTCAAGAAACTAATTCTAGCAATATTTTACAATTTTTCAAAATTTACACACTATCGGTTTCAATTTAAGTCTCGCTCAAACTTTTCGGCCCGTTAAGACCGAATGTCCCTTCCAAGGGACATTTTCTTCATGCTATCACTATGTATCAACAGGTAACTTAAAAATTTAGGGAACAGTTTCATTCGGTAGTTTGCCTTTGTGCCTCTCGGAAAAGCCAAAATTCACGCTAATTCACGCTATATTTACGAAAAGGCATACATTGCAAAATACAAAATTGCATTTAAAAAATTCATGCATTTTCCAAAACCTGCTGCGTCCCCTGACAGTCGATTTTAAGAAATTTCTTTTTCACTCTATACTCTATTAGGTCATCAAAGTCCAAAAAAATATTGGTCCATGCCTCAACGATTTTTTTACGTCTCCTATAGCATTTTTTCAAATGTCCCTTGGAAGGGACATTCGGCTTTTAAGGGTTAAACACAGTAGCTATCATTTGCCAATAGCGTTTTGGTTAATTGTTTATAATTACTTTATTATGATCAAAAATGGACATTGATCCTGACAATGATGGTGTAAGTCTATAGTCATTTGGTATCACACTCGGGCTGGGGATGGTTTATTTGATCACTTCTTTTAAAACGATTCTCTATCATCTTATCATCATAC